AAAAAAAAAAAAAAAAAAAGGCCCCATGGTTGGGCCATGGCCGAGATGTCTCGGCCACTCCCCAAATTGGGCCATGGCCGAGATGTCTCGGCCACACCCCAAATTGGGCCATGGCCGAGATGTCTCGGCCACACCCCAAACTGGCCACGGCCGACATGTCTCGGCCACACCCCAGATTGGCCACGGTCGCGGAAAAAAAAAAAGAAAAAAAAAAGGAAAGTGTGCTACAACTGCCCTTTTCAAACTCGGGGCCTGATGTTACTGCCTTCTGATGTTATGACTGCCTTTTCGAACTACGGCCATTTTTTCGTTGCCCATTATTGTTTTTTTTGCCCTTTTGAACTTCGTTTGTGACACAAACGTACTTGCCCCATTCTTTTTTCACAATTGTTCTATCCCCACCTTGTTGCTCATTCATTCTGCTAGCGACAGACTGTCTGATTCCCTTGCAGATGGTCTCTTTTTCTGGTTTGGATGGTGTGATGCCTGAGCGGATGATGATGAGCATGAAGGTTGGCATTGCGACTTCACCGCCCCTGATATGAATGCATTTGTGTTTTTTTTCTGTGACATGTAATGTGCAGCAGCACAGTGTGTTTGCAAGTTGTTTACATCTTGTTTACATCTTGTTTTTTTTTTTGTTTTTTGTTTTTTTTTTTCCCAACCTTTTCCTTCAGAATCCTTGGGACCTTGTCCCACTTGCACCGTTTAGTTGGGGCAGCTCAACGGTGCGACAGCTAAAAAAAATCATTCTAATTCAATTTCAAATGAGAAATGCATTTATAAATGGCACAAATACAATTGTTCTGGTTTTTCTTTTTTCACAATTGGAGTGGCATACGGGCACTTCCTCAGCAGAAAATGAAGAGTTGCCAGAATCCCGTACAAAAATGGCAAACGGAAGGAGGCTCGTACAATTTCTCTAAAAAAACGCCCTTTGGGGGAACAAGAGGGTCGTTGAGCTAGCTGTCTCGAAAAAAGGAGACAGCTAGCTCAACGGAAAGTGGCGAGGGTAGGGGGAGTAGTATTCGAGAGAAAGGATTTACTTATGCTTTTTGTTGTAAGAAAAAGCAAAGATAGTCTCTATTGCCTTTTTTTAAGTTTTTTTATTAAAAATGGACCGCTAGATGACTTGGACGACGTGCATCTCCGTTGTCGCGTACAGTCGCACGTCGTTGAAAGCCCAACGTTGACCTAGCTCAACAGAGCTAGTGGGACAAGGTCCCTGGGGTCTGGTCCCACCTACCGTTGTTGAGTTTAGAAAACTTAACGGTGTGACGCCATTTCGACATTAATAAATTTGAAACAAGAAGTTGAAAAACTGAAAAAAAACGCTAGAAACAGCTTCTCTCCTTATTTTTTATAACGTAACTCGGAGAAAGGAAACATGTCTGGAACAGTGGGAGGGACTGTCTCCATGAAAAAGGGATACTCCCGGTGGTGAGGGGACAGGAGGTCACCATTTGTAAAATGGACAGGGACAACGTGGATGGCCAAATGCATTCATTGCCCGAAGAAGGAAAAGAGTTTGATGCCAGACAGCCAAACACAGCTGTCAGAGTTCCTCCGTTTCAGGATGCAATGATGTCTAAAAAACCAAAAAAAAGGAAAGGCACTGCAGTTGAGAAATGTACCCTACCCTCAGTACGGTAGTTTTCTCAATGGAAAATGGCTCCCCGCCTAAACCAAAAGGGCCAAAGCATACTACAAAACGGATTTCACGTCAATGAAAAATTCTACAAAATGACAAAATCTAATAGGTTATTCTCCTGTATTTCGGTACCATTAGATCGCAATACATCAATGGCAGAGCTCCGTCCCACCATGCCACACGTGATAGAAAGCTCAGCGTTGAGAAACTCAGCGCTGTAGGTGGGACCAGACCCCTGACACCTGACATATGTAACTCTTCATTTTAAAGCTGGGAAAATAATAAACGTGTGCAATGACTTGCTGATTTTGACTGCCGAGACTGACTGCGAGGCTGTACACTAACCGGTAGGGTTAGATTCGTAATTTGTTTGGCTGAGGGCTAACCGAGAGACCTACCTGTGGGGAAATTCGTGAGGGACATATCTGCAATTTGGGAAAATACAGCCCTAACACTAACTGAATTTCCTACTACTACCGTAGCTGCGAATAGCAAGCCCGGGCTATCCCTAGGACAGACAGGCCCTAAGTGGCCTATGCTGCTAGACGGTCCTATAGCCTATAGCCGGGTTCGGTAGAGGCCGAAAGGCCGAAACAGAAACGGTACCGGTCGGTCAGTCAGTCCGGTCTAGGTCTAGAGTAGTCTATAGATAGGTTAGGCCCATCGGTTCAGGAGTTTTGGCGGTTCATTTCTGGTGAAGCAGCGTTGGAGAAGCCAAGCAAGTTGGTGGCGGTGTTCGTCTGCAGGCGGCTTCCTGAGACCTCGCCGTTGACAGCAGCCATAGCCGGCCCAGTCTGGGCTTGCCGGAGCTGGGGCATCCTCAGCGCATCTACCCTTGGGGGTATCTGCGTCTGGCCAGGCTACATCGAGGCTCTACACTGTGTACTCATGGGTGGTGGCAGCCATAGCTGCCTGTTCCTTCGTCAGAGTTGTCCATCGGCACTGAAGACGTCATCGCAGGACCTGTTCTTCATCAGGGTGGTTGGCGCTGGCCTCTGGTAGGCTAATCTGATGTGGCGCTACTAACTGGGTGTAGGATAGAGAGTGGGGTGTGAGTTCTGAGAGTGGCGAGATACTGGAGCAAACTCTGTTACGATAATTGTTTGAGTGGTTCATCATCAGTGTCTTTTCAATTGTTATCCTCGCAGGTTCTAATTGTGATTGGTTGTTGGGAGTTTGTCAGAGAGTGAGAAACACTGTGTGTCCTCTCCCCATCTGTGCATAGCTGTATTCTGCTGCCTACTCTGATCTGTGTGCAGTGTGGACTCTGTCTCCTCTCCCCCTCCTCTTATGCATGTATGGGCATGTATGAGACTGTTTGTGTCTGAGTGGCAGTACAAATCGTCAGACAACCAAGTTCATAACACATGTACCAGTGGGCCCACCTGGGTCAGTTGGAACATCCAGGAACTGTTTCTTGAAATACGGACCAGAGTTCGAATCGAGAGGGATGCAGGTGGATCAAATTTCGGAATTACCCTTTATAGGGGCTGGGCATAGTGGCAGTGATATCTCCAGGCCATAATTAGTAATTGCAATTCAAAAGACGAGACAAAAAGGCTGCTACAATATCTTGATCATCTGGAGGAGGTGGGGGGGGGGGGGGGGGAATGTTTTGCATGCAGGGCTCTGAAGCTGTGGATGGTGCTGTCACTGCACGGCGCTTCGGGTCTCCGAGCACACTTCCGTAAACATATTGGATATGCATGCAAGCTTAAGGAGATAATTGAACAAGACCCACGCTTTGAGGTAAGAAGGGTCAGCGGAAATTGAGTGAATGGAGTCCGATTGGTGCACTGTGTTCGTAATGCAAAGTGTGTGCATTTTGCAACAACCACACGGAGGGAAACGCAGACGAGATTGACGTAAACCACGAGTATTCCCGAACCTCATTCACCAAATCGAGCCCTCAGCCTCTACCAACCACCAGTGTTCCCAAGCCTCATTTGCCAAATCTACCGGTCAGCGAAAATTGAGCGAATGGAGTACGATTAGTGCACTGTTTTCGTGATGCAATGTGTGCATTTTGCAACAACCAGACGGAGGGAAATGCAGACGAGATTGACGTAAGCCACAAGTATTCCCGAAACTCGTTCACCAAATTGAGCCCTCAGCCTGTACCAACCGCCGGTGTTCCCAAGCCTCATTTGCTAAATCTACAGTCTTCACCGTCCCCGTCATTCTAACTGTATCTGGGGCAACTTTCAGTCTATAATACTCTATATACAGCAATAAAAACCGGGCGTCCTATTCTGGCAAAGACGGTAGTCCATAGCCTGTCTCTACCCTGGTAAACTGGGCAGTGGTAGGGGAGGTGGCATTCGGGTGTGGCATGGATGGGCCTCCCACATGGACTCCCGGGGACCTGGCCTTGGACCCTTGGGCTCTAGGGCCATGTGGCCCACATTTTGGGAAGCCTTTGGGCCGTGGCTCGTTCTCTGGGCCTCGGTTCATTTTTCCTTTTTTCCTTTTTTTTTTTGTTCATTTAATTCCAGCTACATGATTTGTTTTTGTCTGTTCTGGTAATGTTCTGACTCCTGAGTCCTTTTCTTTTCTTCTCTTTTTTTTCTGAGTCCTTTTTTCTCTTTTCTGGGATATTGTCGTTTCAGATTGCGGCTCACGTGTTTTGGCCATTGAGGCCCTGAGAGACTTTGTCCGTCTTAGGACTGGACCTACCTTGTTCGGTAGTCACGCCGTGACCTTTCCGTCCTTTTGTGTTTTTGCAGGCAGGCCTAAGTGTGCGCTTGCATGGTGTGTTCGGTTGTGCAAGGAAAATGAGCAATAGCAAGATGACAATGTCCAGAAAGCACAATCACATTGAAGGCCAGATGGTATCACAGTGTCCAGAAAGCAGAAATGCACCAATATAACACCAATGAAGAATCGTAGCACTGAAAACCAATGTCAATGAGAGCTTGCTCTCGCCACCACCAACATGAGAATCCAGGCCCTATCTCCCTTCTTGGCGCTCGGCGCCCAGCCTACTTCCTACACAGCTACAGTCTGCCTACTAATTGACAATGCAASTGTTGACGTCAGCAGCCCACGAAGTACTTGAAGATGTCGCCCAATGCAGACCATCGCCAATACCAGGTATGTGCCCTCACATCATCATCATCATCCTTCTCTCTCTCCCCTGACTTACTCCCACGTCTTCCCTCTGTACACCCGACGACCACCCCTGCGCCTCACCGTAGTCCAAGCCTATCCAGCTATGGAGGCTGGGCTATGGCGCTGCCACCAGCAGCGCCCTGCTCCCTGCATGACCGCACGCGCTAGCACCTTGCCTGTCAGCGCCAGCAGCAGCCCACAAGTGTCCGCTCCAGCAGCGCTGCCACCAGCATGCAAGTGCTGAATGACTGGCCAGCCAGCGAGCTCTTTCCTATATGGAAAGAGCCTGCCTCCCTTCGGCGGCCTGGCTGGCCTGGGCCTCTGCCCAAAAGCTTCCGGTAGGCCCTAGGAGGCTGTGCCTCCGATGCAGCTGCTGGGCCTCCGTTTGGTTGGGCCTCCCAACTGCCTGTGTATGAGGCTGTGATTCTCGCCCAGGGCCTGCATTTTTGGAAAGGCCTGGAAGGCCGTGGGATGATGCAGCTGCTGGGCCTCCGTTTGGTTGGGCCTCCCAACTGCCTGTGTATGAGGCCGCGATTCTCGCCCAGGGCCTGCATTTTTGGAAAGGCCTGGAAGGTCGTGGGATGTCTCGCTGCTCGGCCTGTGTTTCCCTCAACCAACTGGCGCGACAAAGCTGGACCCCAAATACGAAATTGACAGGTTAGGCCTGTCGAGGACCGAGATCCTCGCATTCCCTCCTCCTTTTCTTCAATAGTCCTCTGAGAAGTCTTCTAATCTGCAGGCATCTTCCCCTTAAGTTCTCTTTCATAGCCTGAGATAACTTGAGGTGTTGTTCTCATGAGTTCTTCTCTGGTGAACCACCGATCTTCCTTGGGATCCAGATGATGTCTGAATCTGACACGGTATTGCATTCTCGGCTTAGGAGGGTGGCCTCTGCCCGGCAGTTAAGGCATTGGCATCACTCGATGCTCCACGATTCCGTCGATGTCGACTTCACCATCCATGGTTGGGGGCAGCATTGACCGTCTGGAGGGAAACTTTGCAGTTTCTGTGAAAGGTACCAGCTTTGAAGCGTGAGAAACTGGGTGTGTACGTAAATGAGGAGGCACGTGAATCACATAGGAGGGTTCGCCCATCTGATCCCCGACTATGTCTATGATCTCCCAAGGACCAAAATACTGTGGCATTAGTTTTCTAGATATTCCCATTTCCTGTCCCAGTTCAGATGACTTTACCCAGACCCTGTCCCCTACCTGAAAGTTAAAAGGTCGTCTGTGTTCGTTCTCAGATGCAATCATAGCATCTTGAGGTTTCCTAATGGGCTCAACGGCCTGCTGCAACATCTGTTCGTATTTGACAACAAATTTTATGCTGCCTGGTGCTGCAGTTGCCTGCTTCTCAGGCGGTAGGAAATCTTGGGCGGAACGGGGCTTTCAACCAAGATGCAGTTGGTTGGGAGTCATGCCAGTAGCGCTGTGTACAACGTTGTACAGGCTGGCGATGAGAGGTAGTTTCTCGTCCTGGTCATCCTGGCTTGGCTTGATGTAGTGCCTAAGCAAGTGCTGCACCACTCGGTTCATTTGTTCCGCCTGTCCATTTGACTCAGGGTGATTCCCTGATGTCATTTGTAGTCTGGTACCCATCTGTTGGGCAGTGTTTTGCCACAGTTCGCTAGTAAAGCGAACATCCCTATCACTGACTATGGACTTAGGTAAAGCAAAGTCTTGTACCCTGTTTTCCATAAATAGTCTGATGACGTAGTCAGCCTTAGCGGTCTCTGGCATAGTTATTAGTCTGGCAGACTTTGAGAAGCGGTCAACTATAACAAAGATGTGTCTCTTTCCACTCCTGCTGGTCACAAGAGTATCCATGAAGTCCATGGGCACACTTCGATCAGGACCTTCAGGAATTGGCAAGGGCTTGATTAGCCCAAGTGGAGCCTGAATCCTAGGTTTGTCCCGTTGGCAAACCTGGCAGGTCTCAACGGTACCATCATAAATTCATATAGTGGGCCACCAAAATCTTTCATCATAGTGGGCCACCAAAATCTCTGCACTAGGTTAGCTGATGTCTTTTTATAGCCAAAATGACCAGTTGTATCATGACATTCCCCTAAAAATAAACTTCGCAAAGACTCACTATTTGGAACACACAGTCTTTTATTCCCTGCCTTCTCAAGAAACAGCAAGTCATCTACCATCGTAAATTCTTCAGAAGTTAATTTGTCTTTCTCTTTAAATTTACGAATGATCTCAGACATAGTTGGATCTTGCTGATAGGCTTCCACCAGGGATCGAGTTACATCGCCGGATATGCCAAACTCAGCTACGAGTGCGCCCAGATAATCTGCCCGACTTGATAGTGCATTAACCACTTTATTGTACTCTCCCTTGATTGGATCAAGTTGATACTTACATGTCTATCACTTGAACCCACCGTGCATCCGAGAGTACAGGCTGTGTGCCTCTCGTGATTTGTTAGGCCCGCCTTCACTTAGGGCGGGCACATTTGCAACCGGGGCCCTTAGGCCTGCCGAGGACCCAGGTCCTCGCATTTGCAATGGCCAACAATGT